TCAGTAAAGAAGGTGAAGCTTCAGTCCTTGAGAAAGCAATATGAGAATCTCAACATGAAGAATAATGAGAAAGTTTCTGAATACATCTCCAGAGTGATTCTGATCACTAATGAGATGAAGGCGTGTGGAGAAACTCTTTCTGAAGAAACAATCATGGAGAAGGTATTGAGATCCCTTACCTCTCAATTTGATTACATTGTGGTAGCAATAGAACATTCCAAAGATCTGAGTACCATGAGAATTGAAGAGCTGCAGAGCAGTTTAGAAGCGCAAGAGTTGCGTTTGACTGAGAGAACTTCTGAAAGGGAAGTAGAGCAACAGGCTCTGAAAGCAATTTCTGATAGGAGGTATCAGAAGCAGTCAGAAGCCAAGAGAAGATCTGATGGTGGTCAGAAGTCAGAAAGCTCAACCTCTGATAGACAAAAGAATGCTCAGAAGGGAAAAGAGAAGTATGACAAGAAGAAGATCCAATGTTACTGTTGTAAGAAGTTTGGTCACTTTGCTAGAGATTGTTGGTCAAACAAGGAGAAGAAATCAGAAGAAGCAAATATAGCCAGAAGTTCTGATGACGAATCTGTGCTATTGATGGCCTCTGAATCTGATGATCTGACAGACTGGTGGTATATGGACACTGGCTGTTCAAATCATCTTACTGGAAACAAGAAATGGCTGGTTGACTTTGACTCTGAAAAGAGAACAAAGATCAGATGTGCTGATGACAAATATCTTAATGCAGAAGGTATGGGAAATGTCAGAGTGACTCTGAACAATGGGAAAATAGCATTGATTCAGAATGTGTGGTATGTACCTGGCATCAGAAGCAATCTGATGAGTGTGGGACAATTAATTGAGAAAGGTTTCTCAGTTACCATGAAGGACAATCTTCTGAAGCTGTACGACTGTAATCAGAAGTTGATTATGGAGTCAGAACAGGGAAGGAATAGAACATTCAAGGTGAATGTCAGAACTGCAGACTCAGAGTGTCTTAGTGCAACAAGTACTGAGAAGGAGAGTGAGCTGTGGCACAGAAGATTTGGTCATTTGAATTTCAGAAGCTTACAACATCTGAATTCAAAGAAATTGGTACATGGAATTCCTGCAATTAAGAAGCCTGAAAAGTCATGCAAAGTTTGCATGGAAGGAAAACAACCAAGATTGCCATTTGCATCAGAAGTTGCTCCAAGAGCAAAACATGCCTTGGGAGTTGTACACTCTGATGTGTGTGGTCCATTTCCAGTAGCATCAATTGGAGGGAATAAATACTTTGTGTTGTTTGTTGATGAATTCACAAGAATGACATGGGTATCCCTTATTAAGTTCAAACACGAGGTGTTTGATGAATTCAAGAAGTTCAGAATGAAGGCTGAGAATCAGAGTGGTCAGAAGTTGAAGATTCTTAGAACTGATGGTGGAGGTGAGTATAACTCTAAAGAGTTCCAGAAGTTCTGTGAGGAGAATGGAATTGAGCATGAGGTTACTGCTCCTTATACCCCTCAACACAATGGTCTTGCTGAAAGAAGAAACCGTACTTTGCTTGATATGGTGAGAAGCATGTTAAAGGAGAAGAAGCTTCCTCAGAAGCTCTGGGGAGAAGCTGTTGCCACTGCAACGTATGTACTCAACAGATGTCCTACGAAGAAGTTGAAGGAAATAGTTCCTATGCAGAAGTGGACTGGAGACAAGCAAAGTGTTAATCATCTGAAGGTGTTTGGTTCTGTTTGCTATAAACATGTTCCAGAAGCCAGAAGACAGAAGCTGGATGATAGAAGCAAAGTGATGATTCTGATAGGGTACCACAGTACAGGTGCATACAAGCTCTATTGTCCAGAAACCAATAAAATTGAATTCAGCAGAGATGTGATTGTGAAGGAATCAGAAGTTTGGAATTGGGATAAGTCTCAATCTGATTCTGATGTTAGAACCTCTGAAGAAAGGCCAGAGTTAAGAATTTCTGAAGTTGGAGTAAACCCTGACGTTGACTCTGACTCTGATACTGATTCAAACTCTGAAGATGACTCAGAAGATGAAGGTGACTCTGATGATCCAGACTCTGATGGTAATCCAGATTCTGGTGGAAATTCAGACTCTGAAGATGGCCAAGGCTCTGGAGGAAGTCAAGCCTCTGAAGCTAGAAATTCTGAAGTTCAAGACTCTGGAAAATGCCAGATCCTGAAGTTGGTCAAAGCTCTGGAGAAAGTCAATCATCTGAAGTCCAAGACTCTGAACAAGTTCAGAGACCACAAAGAATCAGAAGTGTTCCCAGAAGATTTGCAGAATTTGACATGCTGCAAGACACTGAAGTAGACTCTGAAGGAGAAGTTATTCAGTGTGCCATGTTAGTAGACTCTGAACCCATAAGTACAGAAGAGGCTCTTAAGCAGAAGCTCTGGCTGAAGGCCATGAAAGAAGAACTTGATGCTATAGAGAGAAACAAAACTTGGAAGCTGACAGAACTTCCAAAAGACAAGAAAGCCATCAGCGTCAGATGGATTTTCAAGCAGAAGTTAAAGCCAGATGGCTCAATTGGCAAACATAAAGCAAGGTTGGTAGCCAGAGGATTTCTACAGAAACCTGGGCTGGATTATTCTGAAGTGTTTGCACCTGTAGCAAGACATGAAACAATCAGAATGGTGATTGCAATAGCTGCTAACAGGAATTGGCCTCTGATGCATTTAGATGTAAAATCTGCATTTCTGAATGGTCCATTAGAAGAAGAAGTTTACGTGTCACAACCTCCTGGATTTGTGAAAAAGAATCAGGAAGGGATGGTGTACAGATTATACAAAGCTCTATATGGATTGAAACAAGCGCCCAGAGCTTGGAATCAGAAGATTGATTCATTTTTCAAGAAGCAAGGCTTTCAGAAATGTGAGATGGAGTACGGTGTCTATGTTCAGCATACTTCTGAAGGCAATATGACTCTGGTATGTTTATATGTTGATGATATACTATTGACTGGAAGTTCTGAACAGGAGATAGCCAAGTTCAAGAAGGTTCTAATGAATGAATTTGAAATGACTGATCTAGGCAAAATGACATACTTTCTAGGGATGGAGTTCAGATATTCTGAGAAAGGTATCATTTTGCATCAGCTCAAGTATGAATTAGAACTTCTGAAGAGATTTGATCTGAAGAATTGTAAGATGGCTGTCACACCTTCAGATACAAATCAGAAACTGAATTCAGACTCTGAAGGAAAGGATGTGGATGCTACAACCTTCAAACAGTTGGTTGGTTCTCTGAGGTATCTGTGCAATACCAGACCTGATATTTGCTACTCAGTTGGGATGGTTAGTAGGTTCATGAGTAAACCTAAGTGGTCCCATTACCAAGCTGCTGTCAGAATTCTGAGGTATATCAAAGGAACTCTGAAGTATGGAGTGTTATTTCCCTCTGGAGGAAATAATGAGTCAGAACTTCTGAGTTATTCAGACTCGGATTGGTGTGGAGACAGAGTTGACAGAAGAAGTACATCTGGGTACTTGTTCAAATTTCTGGGAGGTCCCATTTCTTGGTGTTCCAAGAAGCAACCTGTTGTGGCGTTGTCAACCTGTGAAGCTGAATACATTGCAGGTGCTGTTACTGCATGCCAAGCTGTGTGGATTCTGAATTTGTTGCAGGATCTGAAGATTAAGGTAGACAAACCTCTGAAGTTGATGATTGACAACAAGTCTGCAATCAACCTTTCCAGAAACCCAGTGCTGCATGGGAGAAGCAAGCATATTGAGACCAAGTATCATTTTCTGAGACATCAAGTTCAGAGTGGAGTGTTAGAAGTTGTACACTGCAGCACTCAGAAGCAGTTGGCAGATGTTCTGACGAAAGCTATCAAGACTGATCAATTTCTCAGATTAAGGGATGGAATTGGTGTTACAAGTTTTGATGGAATATGAATTAAGGGATGGTATTAGTAATAATTCATATTTTATTATATTATTTTCTTAAGCCCATAAGTTTGTTAGAGGGCATTTTAGTATTTTATTTTATTCTAGTAACCCTAGTTTTAGCCTATAAATAGGGTGACAATCATTGTAACTCTTAATCCTGTTTCTTCTGCCGTCATTCTTAAATAGAATATTTCTACCTTTCATCATTTATTCTACCTTTGCACCAACAATAACAACAAAATTTTAATGGACAATCATAGAAGAGTGAAGTAGACATAGCGAAGACAAAATTGTCTAACCACTATACATTTGACATACAATATCTCTCTCTGAACTGAAACATTTCATATGAGATTATCATGTGCTACTGACTATTAGTGAATTTTCTTTCATTGGGCTATAACCTTGCTAACGTAGGTAATGTTGCACCGAACTGTAAGACATCTTGCAACTAAGTGAACAAAATTTCAAAACATATAGATATCAATATTTGGAATGGTGTCCCACTAACGATAGATGTCAAAGAAAGTCCTAGCTTTGCTAATATGTCAGCACAATTGTTTCATTTATTATAGATAGATATGAGACATAATGCATGTCATTTGTGAGACCAAAGATATACAACTTTTTCATTTGTTTTATTAAGCTCCAAAGCTCAATGTTATGGTTCTTGAAGTCATACTGACTCGCTAGTAGTCGGTTTCTATACAGAGTGAATGTCACCCCTTCATGTAAGCAATTTTAATTGTCAACATTACTCCAATTAACTGTCATGCAAAACCGTAGTGATACAAATATTTTGAGCAAAACTATCTAAAGTAGCAAAAGTATCACTATAGATGCGTTCACAAGCATAAGATCGAGATTACCAGAACAACTCCATCAGTATTACATTTAATCCAATAAACTTTAGAGCAATACCCTAGTTAAAACATAAAGTAAATACCCTAGTCTCAGTAGTTGTTGCATTTCAAATTGTCACTATCTTCTGATGAACTTCAATTATTCTGAGCATAACTTAGGATAACTAGCATAAATCACTTCAAAAGAGGATCCAAACCATTTAGTCATAATAACTATAATGTTACTGTTAACTAAAAATTAATTAAACTGTCAATATGGTTTATCTTTACTAAGAGAATCCTTTTCAGATGATGCCACAGTTGTTGTGTTCTTGAGTGGTATCTCATGGTTGTGCTTTCCTTCATATGTAGTCACAAATGATTTTGGATCATCGATTGCTCTCTCGACGTGCTTGCGAACATTGCACTTTATATGAGTACATCTGTAGTAACTTCTGCAAGATTAAAAAACTAATACTGTTAGAAAGAGTAATCTCCAAGGAACCTTCCTTTACAAGTAATCTCGAAGCAACTCATATATATTATAGTTACTTTGAAGAAGAAAAGTGTGAACCTGGGATATGGATTTCCCTTCACCACCTTCTGTCCGTATTTCCTCCAGCGAAAGCCGTCTCCAAGGATTTCAGAATCTGCAGAATTTTGCATCACGATCCGCGGCTCTACTAAACCTTCTTCTGATACTGCCGCTTCGTTCGAGTGATTCTCACTTTTCCTGCACGAACTTAGTTATTTAGTGCTAAAAAACTATGTTACCAATAACATATCTACATTGCATGAAGTTGCGTACGTGTTAAAACTATTTTTCACCTTCTTTTACTTTTAGGATCATCTTCATCTGCCTCAAATCCTTTGCTTCCTTCCTCACAATCCCCACTTAAACCACAAGAGTTTTCAAGAGTAGAATCATTAGGCTGTAAAGCTTTGACATGATTCTCTATTCTTCCTTCATTCTGATTATTATTATTACTCCATAATGTATCTTGAACCATTCCGTCAGAAACCATTCCCGATCCTTGTGTTGCTCCTGCATTGCGCTTTAGAAGTTGCGGCTTTCCATGGCTGTGTTCGCCTTTGTAAACAATTTCAGCAATCTCGCCATCAAATGATCTTTCAACTTTCTTCTTAACGGGACAATTAGGATGTGTGCACTTGTAATAACTTCGAGGATACTCGCTTCCTTTTACTTGCTTCTGTCCGTATTTTCTCCAGTTATATCCATCATATGAAGGTTTATCCGCATTCACTGTCGATGGTGTTAAAGTTTTTTGGTCTTCCTCCATGTTCTGTTGCGCCGTCTTACATGGTTCGGTAGCCTGGTGGGTTTCTGTAGGTAGGGTAGTAATGTTCTGATGAAAATTTGAGCTTTTGTTAGATCTAAATTTGTCATGGTTTAGATTCTGAAGATTGGCCTCCATTGATTGCTGTGGTTGTAGCTGATTAGTGTTGCAAATTCCCTACTCCAAAAGAAGAGAAAAAGAGATGAGTGTTCGAAAAGTTTGAAAAAATCTATTGTGCTCAAATTCGTTCAGAACATGTTTAGGCTATATATTGTTAATAGAACCCCTCACGCCTAGGACTGGAGATCTTAAATGGTGAGTGACCCAATAGCGGAAACCTGATAGCAAGTGGTCTAACAGATCTTAAATCAAACTCTTAATACCATGTTAAGAAACGTGGTTGGGTCTAACTCAACCATACAAAATCGGCTTGTAGAATGAGAATTGCCTCGACTTATAAGCACGTGTCTAGGCCATATATTATTCGATGTGAGACTCTTAACATGCAGCATTAGAAAGATGGCTCCAACAAATCTAACATAGATTCTGATAACATATTAGAGTCTGGTTCATGTTAAACTTTAAACCCTAAACTTCTAAGACTCATGCATAAGAGAAAAAAGTGTATTATGTGTGTGTAGAATCTATAGATACTAACCATGTTTGCCAAGAGAGAGACAGTTGTCTGTGACACAAATTTCGCCATTGGCTTGTAAATGAGAGAAGACTGATTGGTGTCAGGTTTGGGATCCATGTCAGAAGAATTGCTAAGTTCGCCTCTAAAAACGTCAGCCTGTAATTGTAAAAAACACAACAGATGTTAGACATCAACAAATGTTTTAAAAACCGAACTAGACCATTCGGTTTTTGAAACACTAACAACGAATGGTCTATTTCTATCGTGCACTGAATGCTAGCTCACCTGAGAAGGGGGGAGATTCAATGTTGGCTTGAATCTGACTGTCTTTGGTCTGATTGCAGAAGTTGTAGTTTGAGAAGAAGATGCAATTGGAGGAGTGGCATTGATAGCACCTGCTAGAAGCTCTGAGAAAGATTTGAAAGTAGAACAATTTGGCCTTGAAGCAACTGGTTTGGCAACAACTACTCTTTCTACTTCTTCAATATCCATCATCCAAATGCTATCTATCTCTTGCAAGATTTCTCACCTTCAATTGAACCAAGATAAAGATCACTTGGCAGGTAGGTAGGTATAATTAACTAACATTAATAAAAGTTGTAAATTACAGACAAAGGTTTAATAATAGATGTTGCTATAATTAGTATTAGTAACCAACAAGAGTGCAACCATAATCATAGACTGAAAATCCTAGCTATAGCTATAAACAAATTTAGTTTACTCCTTTTTATTATCATTTCACAAAACAACAAATGGTGTCTGTTCTAAAATAATGTTTGGCCTGAATAAAACCATTTAACAGAAACAGCAAAGATGAAGAAACTAACCTGCAGAAAAGCAAGAAGAAGCTGTAACATGCTAAATAGATGCACCTTGGCTTATGTACAAGCCAGAGAGAGAATGAGTGAGAGTGGAAGTGGTTTGATTTTAAAAGTGAAGTGAGTAAACAAGGTGGGACAGATGGTGGTTGGTAATAGTGAAAAAGAAAAAATGGATGAAGGGTTGTTTGTTTGTTATTGGGATTTGTGCATGTTAAGGATTGGTTGTTCCAACCTCCACGAGCGTACGGACAACTAACAGTCAATATTTGTATAGCTTGACCATCTGTTGAACTTTACTGTCATGGAGATGGTTCCTTTCAGCGGCATTAATGCTACTATCTTTGAAAAATGTTATGAAAGAAAACAAAATAGAAGAAAAATGAGAACTTTTTGGTTTTGGAGGGAAATCTTAATTAAAAAAAACAGTGTGTTAAGCATGCATGCATATCTGACATTGTAGTCGGACAATTCAAACAAACAAGTGTTTTAAAATAAGAAATCAAAGTTACATGATTTTACCTTTTTGTTAACAAAACACATGATTTATAAATGAGGATGAAAAATATGGATTTGAATCCTCTCTTTCTATTTTCCCATGCTTTTTATCTGATACTTATCTCTCAGTCATTCATAAATATTTTATAAATTGTCTATCAACATGTCAATGTTTATGTTTGATGATTGTGCTTCTTTGATAGTAATGACACCAATGTGACTTTTTGAGTCAGACAATTGATCTCATCTTAATGTTTATGTGAGATGTTTGTGCTTCTTTGATAGCAATGAATGACAATGATGTGAGTCTTCGAGTCTGTCATTAGAGCCCATCATTTTTAATTTGACATCACTATTTGTTAAGTTTTAGAGGTGAAAATAGAGAACCTATTCTAGGCTTTGCAAGCCCTGAGTTTGACCTATAAAAAATTTCAAAGCCTGATTATTGTAATATCTACCAAATTTCACACATCTATTTTAATTTAAACACTCCTTTATAAAGCACTTAATATAAACCACATTATTTTAACATAGTTTAAATATTTATATCATTTCAATAAAGCATACTTTATAAAACAAAACAAAAAACACAAATTTAACTCTTTCCTACTTTAAATAATTGACACATGCGAAACTAGCCATTCCTTAATCCTGAATAAATTGCAACAGACTACAAATTTAACATAAATGATAAAAAGAAATATCTGGCAAAAAGAAATGTTCGGCTCAATCTATCTTGCACCAAGAAAACTTATGCAGTCAAGAGCTGGTATTGAGCAATGTCTTATTTTAGCAGCAGTTTTAACTTCCCGGCTGGCAAATACTAAAGCCAGCCCGCTCGGCCAGCTGCAACGTAATAAAATTACAAACTTGAAAAAAATTGACGGAACACAAGGATGACTAAAAATAAACTATAAAATGTAGGGCACAATCTATCTTGCACCAAGAAAACTCATGCAGTCAAGAGCTGGTACTGTGCCCTGTCTTATTTTAGCAGCAGTTTCAACTTCCTGGCTGGCAAATACTAGAGCCAGCCAGCTCGGCCAGCTGCAATGCAAATAAAACTCCCCCGTCACACACCGGAATTGCGAAGGGGAGGATCATTGAATTATTTTTAAACATATTTATCAAATAACATGGCATCAACTAACAGCAAAAAAAAAAAATCTCAAATTTGTACTCACATTGAACCTACAAAAATATAGCATTCAAAACAAAGTATAGTCAAAGAAAAGTAGTCATTTGTGAGTATTGTGTAATCAAAACTTCCATAAACCTCTGGAGCAACAATACATAACATTAGTTCAATATATTTCAATTACAAGTTAAAACACTGAACACAGAAATCATGTGCCAATCCCGTTGAAACTTATTGCTAAACGGGAAACATCTATGCAACAACTATGTAAGAAATTTTTCCCCTGACAGCATTAAAATAAATTGTAACATATAACTGAATCAAAATATGGAAATACAAATAGGGTATGAGTGTAATCAGATTATGACACTTCCTGATATCATTATTTATTCAAATAATACCAATTCGAGAAGAAGCCGACCTTCATTGGTTCTATTTCCTGCAAAATTGCATAACACGCTGAATACGCATGCAAAGAATGAAATACTTAATTATATGTTAAACTTTTATATCTTATGCTGCAACAGATTGTTTCTCTTCATAATCATCTAGATTAAGCGCTTGCAGCAACTTTGGCCAAGATTCCGGGATCCCTCCAGGAAGCTCAAACTCTAATAGTTTTCCTCTGCTACTGTAAAATCCCTCCACAGGTTGACTCTGCGATCAAGATGGAGATCATATCATAAACCAATAAGAAATGAAAGAGAGAAAATATGAAAAGAGGTTGCAAGAAACAGAAAATTAAACAAGCATTTTAACAAGTTCACTCAAAACAATCAATGACTCATAATTAAGATGACACATTAAGATGGCATATATACAACTTCAAATTAAGTCAATAAAATTGCTTATTAACATTCCTTGAATAATATAATAAGAAGAAGAAAAAGAGGGAAAAATACCAATTCATTGTATACACGAAGCCTTTCTTTGACTATGGGTTCAGTATCATCAGAACGAGTAATGAGCTTAGACATACAATGCTCAGGAGGAAGAAGGGGAGCCATACTCATTCCAGGGGAACCATTCTCGCCCTTGACATTGATGGAAGCAACGTTAAAATTTCCTCCACACTGACTGCAAGTTCTCCTACCGAGGCATTTTGCAAGCAGCACTTCTTCTCGGATCTTCAGATTGACCACCAAGTCAATGTCAGTCACCCCTTCCAATATTTCCTGAGCAAATTTAAATGTGATACGAAAATTAGTCATATTAAATAACTTAAAAATTTTCCTCAAGTCATTTTTCATTGGAAAAATTATATATAATGTAACCACAATACAAAGATACTCACTGCTTGGTTTATTGTTCGAGGAAAACCGTCAAGAATAAAACCTGATTCGCCTTTAGCTTGTCCGTCGGCCAATCTCTTTGACAATAAGTTTATAATGATTTCATCTGATACTAATTGACCCTGATTTACAATTTCTGATAGCTGCAAATGAGATAATAAAAAATTCAGAAATTAGAGAGCAAAGACATTCATTTATATATGAACAAAGTATGCACTTATAATTGCTTCCAAATCCAAAAAGAACCCAGATCCATTCAAAGCAATAAGAGGGGAGTATCAAACCAGTTGAACCACGAATCTCAAATCAGATACTTAAACCAACACTACTGATCCTCCATAGCCAGATTTAACAAATGAGTCCAAAATATTGAAATCACATGAGTACAAGTATGGCTAGCCTAAAAAGCATTAATTTTTAACATTCTTTCACAAGAATGCAGCGAATTATGCAGATAGGTTAGTGACATCGAAATTTTGAATAGAGTAGACGACAAATCACAAGCCAGAGATAAGATTAACCATTTTATGATATCAATCTACAACTTGATTTGAGTTCTACCATCACATCAGAAGGTAAAAAAAACACCCAAAATCGAAATCAATCCCAAAACATAGAACATAAAGGTAACATTTTTTTAACTTTGAATCAAAAAACAGAAAGTAAAAAAATGGAACCTTTGAAGAAAGGGGGCCCTTGGAGGAAAGCTCATGACGAACGAGATCACCGGTGGCGATGTGCGGGACGCCGAGGAGGTTACAGAGGCGGCTGGCGTATGTGCCTTTACCGACGCCGGGACAGCCCAAGAAAACCCATTGAACATTCCTATTTTCACGCGGAGGCGCGTGAGAATTAGTGGAAGAGAATCCACGCGCTAAGGAATAAAAGGGTGTTGTGCGTTTTACGAAGCGGGTTATGGCCGCCATCGGAATCGCAGCTGTAAGGTCAGGAGGGTGGGAAGGGGGAGGAGATGGAGGCAGACAGGCAGTATTGCTATGTCTATACCTAATTGCCCGGTTGCTTTTTAACTTAGTATATACAAAGAAAAAAAATCACGGGTTTTCTTTCCATTTTTATTTTATTTTTTACAAAGTTTACTTTTCCAGTAAAGGTTTGATTTTCTTTTTATAATAAAAGTTTAAAGTTGACAAATTTTTTTTAGGATTCTACGGTATGTGAAAAATTAGTTAATTGTGATTCTGATTGAGGTGTATATATAAGTTTTTTATTGGTTAAATGATCTCTTTTAACTAAAGGCTGATTGGTTAAATGATCTCTTTTAACTAAAGGCTGAGTATCTGAAATCTGATTGGTGTGGGCAAAATTGTGGGTTTTAATCTTGGGTCCATAATAGGTATGGACTAGAGTTATATGTATTATATGGCTAGGTCCCTCTGTAATCACACGAGAATCAGAAACATAACTGACGGCTTGACAGCTCCACAATTTGTCTCATTGAGAGTTGTGAACGGGAGTGTGAAGTACAGAGGAAGATCCAGTCATTCATCATTTCGTGATTCTAAAGCATGACTTTAACAAGTAACTACTGATCTTCTAATTTCATATAATTGATCGATAAATCTTTCCGATTACATTTTGTATCAGAGCCTAGATTCGAATCATTTGAAGTAATCAATTTTCAACCCTATAATTATCATCCTATATTGCTAAATTCAATTTAAGTTACAATAAATATAATTAACGTAAATAATTACCATAGCAGTTACCTTCTAATTTTTAAACAGTGAACAATTACTTAACTCAAAAGATGCATACTGCATAATAAATATTTGGTATTACGTTATATTTCTTACCATTATATTAATAATTATATAAAATAGGGGTTGAAATATATTGTATGAGGTGAATAGTTTTGTGCCTTGAACAACAAGAGGGTTGTTTGGATTATAACAGTAATTATATAAATGTTAATTCTTCACTAATTTATTGGAAGACAGTTTTATTATTTCATTATTATTTATTATATCATCTCAGAAAAGAAAATTTAATATATATTTATTCATTGATATTTAATTAGATTTTTTTTTTATTTTGAGACTTTCTCACATAAATAAATTTCATATATTTTGTACTAAGCACTTACTAGTTTATTAAAGTTATAGTGAGAATCATCAATATTATATTTTGATGTATTTATCAGGTAGTGTCTGACCCAAGGGTGAGTGAGACCAAAAACAAACTTTGAGAAAAACTAGATCACCTCTTTTTTGCCATCATATGTGGTCTATTTGTTTCATAAATATGAAGATTTTACCCTATACCCTTACACTTATAACCATACCCCTACAATTTAAAAAAAAAATACTCATTTTATCTTTATATACTTTTATATATTCTTTTTTAACTTTTTACTCTATCACACACGATGATTTCCGGTACGTTTTTTTTCTCAAACCAGAAAGACTTTGACAAAGAGTTCTGGTTCACACAAATTGTGTACCGGAAGACTTTATGAAAGACTTCCGGTTTGAGAATTTTTGTGGGTGTTCACCGGAAGACTTGTAAAAAGAGTTCCGGTACTTGTAAAAAGTGTACCGGAACACTTTTTACGAGTCTTCCGGGTTTGTGTTTTTTGGCTACTGGAACTCTTTCCTTGAGTCTTCCGGTTTACATTGTCCAACTTTTTTTTAAATAAAATAATAATCTATATTAAATAAAAACTTTCTTTTTATTTAAATAAAATAATAATCTATATTATTAAAAACATATTTAAAAAGCATTAAATAAATAATTATTTATGACTATTAATATACCACTTATATATTTTAAAGATCATTAACTAAATAATTATTTATGACTATTAATATTTCAAACGGACTGTAACGATTTGATAATACTCTCTATAACGTTCACCTTACTATTTTGGTACTATTATTTTTTTTTTGGTGTGTATTAATATTATTATTTGTGCTTTAGTTTTATCATTGCATTTTGGCTTTTTTTCAAAATAAAATAGACACAATTAATCATGCTTCTAATCATATTATGTGGTTCAAACAATAATTTATTAGGTGCATTTTTCATATACATTTTAAAATGGATAGCATAAATGATAAGAAATAATGATATTCAAACTATGCTTTAGTTTTAAAAAAACTAAATAATTATTTATAAAAGTTCAAAAATCAAATAAAAATCAAATTAAATTGAAGATTTAAAAATTAAAAAAATATTGTTTTATAATAAGTTGAAAATAAATGAATTATTAAAATATATTTATTGCATATTTAAATACATTTAAAGATAATAAACTGATTCAAGGAAAAGAAAATATATAAGTAAATGCTGCGAATTAAAATTTATACAATTAAAATAATAATTGTATAACTAAATACAAAAAAAAATTTATTGAATCAAAAAAATTTAAGTTTAAACATTATGAGTTTTGACATGAATGTCCACGGTTAAATTTTTATCAAATAAAATTAAACTCATTGAACACGTTTTAAATAAATAATAAGCATTTATAATAAAAATATATATAAATAAAACATAATTAAATACATAGTAAGCAACACATTTAATATTTAAATACATATTTAAAATTATAGATAAGTTTTTTAAATATTTACCCACAAAAATTTTTAAACCGGAAGTCTTTTATAAAGTCTTACGGTGCATAATTTGTGTGAACCGGAACTCTTTGTCAAAGTCTTCTGTTTGAGAAAAAAAACGTACCGGAAATTATTTTGAAAGTGTTCCGATAGATTGTGTGTGATACGGTAAAAAGTAGGAAAAAAATATAAAAATATATAAGGATAAAATGGGTATCTTTTTAAAATTGTAGGGGTATGGGTATAAGTGTAGGGGTATAGGGTAAAATCTTCCATAAATATCAATGTGATTTTAGATTTGACCATTTTATTAGTATATGTTTGTTTTATAAAAATTAATTGCATGAATTATTTTGCTAATGTGCCTAAATTACTAACGTGAATAATTAATTTTAGGTTTATATGGAATCTTCTAATCATAATAGTAATATATATAGATGTTTTAATTGAAAAAGAGGGTTGATTTAGGTATAAAATTAATTATATGATCTTGTTGCAATTGTTTTCAATTTCCATGTTTCTTTGATTGCTTTGAATTTTCGTAACCAGTATTGTTTCTTCAATTGCTTTGAACTTCCGTAACTCATAATGTGATTTTAGGTGTATATTGTATCATGATACTATATTGTAATTATACTATATTGTATTGATGATATTGTATAGTTAATTTAGCCGTGGCAACTATTTATATTAAGAGTGCATATTGTATTGATTATAATATGTTATATTAATGGTGTATACTATAAATAGTATTATTTTAGTATTATTATATCAAAATTAATTTTTAATAGTATTGTAACAATCACATAATCATATTGAATAAATAGTATTATTTTAGACTTCTTACTAAATTGAAATTAGTTTGTTTGATTTTGTCATTGTTTTGTCAAATATTTTGAAATATTATATAATATCCCTTATAATATCGAGATAGATATTGTTAAAGACAAAATTTATTGGGAATGCTATATTGTTTAAATTTATGATTGGTTCATGATTTATTTTGGCAAGAGAAATTTGATTCCTGTGCAAGAAATTCTATAAATTATTTTGTGTGATTACCATCAAAGTGAAATCACTACTTTTAACTTATAAAAGTCTTTTTGTAGTTTGAGGAATGGTTTTAAGTCATTACTATCATTGCGGTTGATTAAGGATATAGTTGTTGGAGATGCTTAGGTCCAAGGGATTTATTTACCCAAAGGAGATAAATTTCTAAACTCAATGTATGCTCACTGAGTAGCTTATTCTTGAAATTTGTAGATGAAGTTATTGGAGATGTTTTGATTTAGAGAATTTATCTACCCAAAGGAGATAGATTTTCGAACCCAATGTATGCTCATTGAGTAACTCATCAAAGGTTCTGACCCTTGTTATGACCTGAGTTTGTGCATTCCACCTAAAGGGGATTGCGTGATAATGTTGGCCTCTTCGTGATAGATTATGTTCATTAAAGTTATATCTTGCCTTTGTTATTTGTTCTAATGCATTCTTGTTTTATCTCAACAATGACCTTCTCTATAAACAATTGTTATGATTCTATTGAGATCCTGAATAGGTATAATTTTAAGAATTGGAAGAAAAACTTAGAGTTTTCATTAGGAATTGTTGATCTTGACATTGTGTGAAACCAAACCAGTGATCAATGAATAAAGTACACCTGAAGAGAAAAAAAAATTAGCTAAGTGGGCGAGGAGTCACTGACTTAGCTTGTGTGCAATTAAGAACACTAGTTATGTAAATTTGATGTTGAAATCTCAAATTGTTGGTAATGGTATCTTATTGGATGGTTTATATGAGTTTTCTTTGGATTGTGATCATATTTCATCATCCTTGAATGGTGAGAGCCTGCTAAAAGGTATAAAATTAGAAAAAAGATTCCTCCTTGGTGTGGTACAAGCGTTTATGCCATATCTCTAAAGAAAGAGTTGAAAGGCTAATTAAAGATGATAGTTTACCTCCTTAGATTTCAATGATTTGGGGACTTTTTTGGATTGTATTAGAGGAAAATTTACTAAGACCAACAAGAAAGGTTCGACTAGAAGTTCATACATTTTGGAATTTATTCATACAGACATTAGCGACCCCCTTTCTCCCACTATTTGTGATAATAAATATTTTATCACTTTCATTGATGACTTTTCTCAGTTTGACTATCTTTACTTGTTTAAGGAAAAATTAGAAGCACTTGAAAATTTTAAAATCTTTAAAATTGAGGTTGAAAAGCAACTAGGAAAAGTGATAAAGGTGGTACATTCTAATCATGGTGGAGAGTATTATGGTAGATATGATTCAATTGGGCAACGCATGGGGCATTTTGCAAAATACTTGAAAGATTATGGAATTGTTCC